TTTGAAAAAATATTTCTTTAAAAATCCACGCCTTGTTTGGTGTTTGAAAAAATATTTCTTTAAAAATCCACGCCTTGTTTGGTGTTTGAAAAAATATTTCTTTAAAAATCCACGCCTTGTTTGGTGTTTGAAAAAATATTTCTTTAAAAATCCACGCCTTGTTTGGTGTTTGAAAAAATATTTCTTTAAAAATCCACGCCTTGTTTGGTGTTTGAAAAAATATTTCTTTAAAAATCCACGCCTTATGGATACTTGAAAAAATATTTCTTTAAAAATCCACGCCTTATGGATACTTGAAAAAATATTTCTTTAAAAATCCACGCCTTATGGATACTTGAAAAAATATTTCTTTAAAAATCCACGCCTTATGGATACTTGAAAAAATATTTCTTTAAAAATCCACGCCTTGTTTGAAAAAATATTTCTTTAAAAATCCACGCCTTGTTTGAAAAAATATTTCTTTAAAAATCCACGCCTTGTTTGAAAAAATATTTCTTTAAAAATCCCCGCCTTGTTTGAAAAAATATTTCTTTAAAAATCCCCGCCTTGTTTGAAAAAATATTTCTTTAAAAATCCACGCCTTGTTTGAAAAAATATTTCTTTAAAAATCCACGCCTTGTTTGAAAAAATATTTCTTTAAAAATCCACGCCTTGTTTGAAAAAATATTTCTTTAAAAATCCACGCCTTGTTTGGTGTTTGAAAAAATATTTCTTTAAAAATCCACGCCTTGTTTGAAAAAATATTTCTTTAAAAATCCCCGCCTTGTTTGAAAAAATATTTCTTTAAAAATCCCCGCCTTGTTTGAAAAAATATTTCTTTAAAAATCCCCGCCTTGTTTGAAAAAATATTTCTTTAAAAATCCACGCCTTGTTTGAAAAAATATTTCTTTAAAAATCCACGCCTTGTTTGGTGTTTGAAAAAATATTTCTTTAAAAATCCACGCCTTGTTTGAAAAAATATTTCTTTAAAAATCCACGCCTTGTTTGAAAAAATATTTCTTTAAAAATCCACGCCTTGTTTGAAAAAATATTTCTTTAAAAATCCACGCCTTGTTTGAAAAAATATTTCTTTAAAAATCCACGCCTTGTTTGAAAAAATATTTCTTTAAAAATCCACGCCTTGTTTGAAAAAATATTTCTTTAAAAATCCACGCCTTGTTTGAAAAAATATTTCTTTAAAAATCCACGCCTTGTTTGAAAAAATATTTCTTTAAAAATCCACGCCTTGTTTGGTGTTTGAAAAAATATTTCTTTAAAAATCCACGCCTTGTTTGAAAAAATATTTCTTTAAAAATCCACGCCTTGTTTGAAAAAATATTTCTTTAAAAATCCACGCCTTGTTTGAAAAAATATTTCTTTAAAAATCCACGCCTTGTTTGAAAAAATATTTCTTTAAAAATCCACGCCTTGTTTGAAAAAATATTTCTTTAAAAATCCACGCCTTGTTTGAAAAAATATTTCTTTAAAAATCCACGCCTTGTTTGAAAAAATATTTCTTTAAAAATCCACGCCTTGTTTGAAAAAATATTTCTTTAAAAATCCACGCCTTGTTTGAAAAAATATTTCTTTAAAAATCCACGCCTTGTTTGAAAAAATATTTCTTTAAAAATCCACGCCTTGTTTGGTGTTTGAAAAAATATTTCTTTAAAAATCCACGCCTTGTTTGGTGTTTGAAAAAATATTTCTTTAAAAATCCACGCCTTGTTTGGTGTTTGAAAAAATATTTCTTTAAAAATCCACGCCTTGTTTGGTGTTTGAAAAAATATTTCTTTAAAAATCCACGCCTTGTTTGGTGTTTGAAAAAATATTTCTTTAAAAATCCACGCCTTATGGATACTTGAAAAAATATTTCTTTAAAAATCCACGCCTTTTTCTTTGTTGAAAAAATATTTCTTTGAAAATCCGGGCCTTATTGGTATCTGAATAAATTATTTTTTTTTTAAACTCCCCCCATTCAAAACAATTTTGGTTTTTTATAATTTTGCTCATAATTATTTATTTTTGGCATATTTGTGCATTTTGTATTCAGTTGAAATATATGTATATATGTATTTCTTTGTTTTAAATATATTTTTATTTTTGTTTGTTTGGTTTGCTATTCCTTCATATTCCTTTGGTATATATCTTCACTAATAGCTTAATAATACATTCACGTTTATATATTTATATATAATTATTATAGGTAATTCATTAAGAACTCTGCTTTTACAATCATAATAATATACAACAAAAAAATAAATAACAATTAATATAAATATAAATAAATACATATTTATTTGTAATAATTTGGACATAAATTCTTTCGGTTCGGGGTTTTGTTTTTGTATGCGATTTTTTGTTTTGAAACATAAAATTTTATTTAATGTAACTACTATATACAATGACATCTGTTTATTTCAATATTTTTTTTTTATTTAAATTTTTAGCTCTGCTGATTTTTAGTTTTTTTATTTTATTTTGAATATATGTATGTAAGTAAATTTGTAAATGTTTTTGTGTAGATGTACTAGAATTAAACTTTATCCAGCCCGTGTTTTTGTTGTTGTTCATTTTACATATATTTTTGTTTATTTAAATTTTAATTCTAGTATATATATGTTTTTTTTGTATATATGTACTCGTACATAAGTAGACATTTTATAAGTGTTGGCTTTTTTTCATACTTAAAACTAAATATTTTTTTTTAATTTTCAGTTTCAGAGAGGGATATCATTGCAAGCAAGATATTTGATATTCTATATATGTGTATGTGTGTGTGTAGGTGGGTGGGTGTTTGGTTCTTGTACTGGATGTTAGAGTTATGAACTCTTTGTGTGAAAAAAAAATAAACAAGAAATACTTTAATTTTTACCACTGACATTGACATCATTAAAAAGTACAGCTAAATCATCATCCGCAGCAGTTCCAATACCATCACCACCGACAACACCACCCTCTGTTGCATCCGTTGAGAGCACTTCATGGATATCATCATCATCATCATTGCTGCCCACATTTCCTCCCTCAACATCATCATCATTACCACCAGCATCGTCATAATCATTATCCACAGCAGAGTTAAGATTTTCAATTTTAGTTTCGGTATCGTCATCGTCAGTATCATCTACGCCGTCATTATCCCCCTGCACATTATCGTTATTATTATTGTTGTAGTTGTTGTTGTTATTATTTTTATTCTGGTAGGCGGCAAAATTCTTAACTGTATTTTTATTAACATAAAACATGTTATCATCACTAGAAAATTTTATATAAAATTCATTCAAAAAATGTTTGAAAAAAAAATTGATTCAAAATTTTTATAATTTTTACTTTAATTTCTTTTCAGTTTGGGGAAAAAAATTTGAGGGACTTTGGGGATGGCCTTATGGATATTTGAAAAAATATTTCTTTAAAAATCCACGCCTTATGGATACTTGAAAAAAATATTTCTTTAAAAATCCACGCCTTATGGATACTTGAAAAAAATATTTCTTTAAAAATCCACGCCTTATGGATACTTGAAAAAAATATTTCTTTAAAAATCCACGCCTTATGGATACTTGAAAAAAATATTTCTTTAAAAATCCACGCCTTATGGATACTTGAAAAAAATATTTCTTTAAAAATCCACGCCTTATGGATACTTGAAAAAAATATTTCTTTAAAAATCCACGCCTTATGGATACTTGAAAAAAATATTTCTTTAAAAATCCACGCCTTATGGATACTTGAAAAAAATATTTTTTAAAAATCTACGCCTTGTATGTCTATGGATACTTGAAAAAAATATTTTTTTAAAAATCCACGCCTTGTAAAAATCCACGCCTTATGGATACTTGAAAAAAATATTTTTTTAAAAATACTTGAAAAAAATATTTTTTTAAAGATCCACGCCTTATGGATATTTGAAAAAAATATTTTTTTTTAAAAATTTACGCCTTATGGATATTTGAAAAAATATTTTTTTTAAAAATCCACGCCTTATGGATATTTGAAAAAAATATTTTTTTAAAAATCCACGCCTTGAAAAAAAAATGTTTTTTTAAAAATCCACGCCTTATGGATACTTGAAAAAAATATTTTTTTTAAAAATCCACACCTTATGGATACTTGAAAATAATATTTTTTTAAAAAAAAATTTTTTTTTTATAAATCCAGGCCTTATGGATATTTGAAAAAATATTTTTTTTAAAAAAAAAAATTTTTTTTATAAATCCACGCCTTATGGATATTTGAAAAAATATATTTTTTAAAAAAATCCACGCCTTATGGATATTTGAAAAAAAAAAATTTTTAAAATCCACGCCTTATACATTTGAAAAAAATATTTTTTTTAAGATCTTGAAAATAATATTTTTTTAAAAAAATTTTTTTTTTTTATAAATCCAGGCCTTATGGATATTTGAAAAAATATTTTTTTAAAAAAAAAAAAATTTTTATAAATCCACGCCTTATGGATATTTGAAAAAATATATTTTTTAAAAAAATCCACGCCTTATGGATATTTGAAAAAAAAAATTTTTAAAATCCACGCCTTATACATTTGAAAAAAATATTTTTTTAAAGATCTAGATCTTATGGATATTTGAAAAAAAATATTTTTTTAAAGATCTACGCCTAATGGATATTTGAAAAAAAATATTTTTTTAAAAGTCCACGCCTAATGGATATTTGAAAAAATATTTTTTTTTTAAATCCACGCCTTATGGATATTTGAAAAAAATATATTTTTTTAAAAATCCACGCCTTATGGATACTTGAAAAAATATTTCTTTAAAAATCCACGCCTTATGGATACTTGAAAAAAAAAATATTTTAAATAGTTATTTTTTTTCATTGGGTGGACCCCAATAAAATATTTTTTTAAACATTTTGAAAAGAAATTAAAGCAAATTCAAAATTATTTACCATTTTTTACTAAAATTTTCATGCATTTCTAACCTTGTAACTTACATACTGTTACAGCGATAGAAATTCTGTAAACCAGTGTAGACGCAAGACATATAAGGTGTCGATGCACCACTGCTACCGCCTGCCTCATCCTCACCATTGTAGTTATCATTCAATAGCATCATGGGTTTGGGTGCCGCCTTATTGCTTAACTGGGTGCCGGTGGAGATTTCTGAAAACAAAGCTTGTTCATAGGGTGTCGCTAACATTGATTCCAGTGGTTGGTGGTTTGTTTCTAATTGCGTACCCGCTCGTTTGCCATAACGTGAACCCAAAAAGAATCTATCATTGCGTGGCACAACATTTAGCCGACGTGTCTTCGATGGTGCATAGGCAGCACCGCTAGCCAACGCTGACGAAGATGAAGCACCGCCCGATGAACGGCCATAGCGACTGCCGACAAAGAATGAAGGACGTTTGTGCATTGTTAAGACATCTGATCGGATTTCACAGGGAAGAAATGTGCGATGAAAAAAAAAACATAGAAAAAAAAGAGGTGAAAAATGGGAAGAAATAAAAAACCAAAGAAAGGTTCTTAGAAGGTAACAATTTAAGATATTCGATTACACTTCGGTTAACCTAGATTTAGGTGGTCTTGGTGATGACCATAGAGTTTTTTTCTTTTGAAAATATTTATTAAAAAATTCTCAGCTGTAGATAATTGAAAAAATATTTATTAACAAAAATTAACACTTTTGAGCTACTTGAAAAAATATTTATTAAAAAATCCACGCCTTGCTTACTTACTTAGCTGGCTTGTGACAGAACTTTCGTTCCATAAGCCGAGCTTAAACCAGTAAGGAAAGGAGTAAAGTCGGACGGGGCCGACTATATGATAACCTTCACCACTATGGGTATATTAAACAGGACTATTAACATGAAATTGAATGAAATAAAATATGTGATATTTATCTAAATGTGAATCGACTTCAAACAAATATCAATAGGTCATCCGTTGGGA